TGTATGAATGGGTAAATGAGGGCACAGGTTCTAGTTAAAGCACTTTCAGTATCTTGATAAGATAGAAAGGCACTGTATAAGTACAGCCCATTTACTTATTGATAAATGTGTGTGCTCAGTTTTCTATTCATTTTGTACATTTTTGTAAAAATTACAGGATAACAAAAGAGGTGCTGCAAAAATAATTTTGTTTAAACTATTTAATTATTTCATTTATTTATTGTTCTAGTTAAAGAGAGCAAAAGAGCAGCGCAGCCAGTTCCTGTCCCACAACTTGTTAAGAACCACCTCATCGCTTTGTGCAAGGATGTAGCGTTCACTGTCCGGTGCTCTTTGTGCCACAAGGTGCTCATCTCACATCAAGCAGCTCAAGCTCATTTTAAGTAAGTTTATACTAAGATTTGCTCATATAATTAAAAAATGCATGCATGAGTTGTGTAACTGATCTTCAATGTTTTTTCTTATTCGTGTTTGTTTTAGCGTGCAGTGCAGACACGGCTGTGCTGTGGTCAAGGCTGACAAAACAATAGTGGAATTTATGAAACAGCTTTGCGTGTGTGGACAGTGTTGTCTCTGCTCTGAAATCTTCCTCTGCCACGCTGAAATTGAGAGACACAAAGAATCTTTGCAGCATGACGTTGAGGTCACTCAATCAATGGCTAAAGCCCTTCTTCTGTACTGTAGGTTTACTGAAATTCAGCGGCGTACTAAAGAGGCACAGGGGAAAAGGATGTCATATGGCCTTAAGACACCTTTTCAAATGAACAATAAGAGGAGTGAAAGTGGTAGATCTTCAGCTAAACGACAAAAGCTAAGTCCATGCGTGAATGCCAGCAGCAGCAAGAACTCGTTTGTTTGGTTTTGCGAGTGTGGCCTCCAGTTTTCAGAAGAGGCTCCAGCCACGAACCATCTTCTGGCTGCGAACCAGATTTTCTATCAGTGTGGTGTCTGTGGCAAGCACATGGGTGAGTCTTCAATCACCCGCCTGCACATGAGTCGCATCCATGGGGGAGCACATCTCTCCAGCTTCCTGTTTTTCTGCCGAAAGTGCCGTGTGGAAATGCCCCGGTATGAAGATATCATGTCACACGTGTCAGAGGTCCACAGAGGACACACCTACGTCACTGAGAAGGAAGTTCCCTCTGATCTCATGTCTGCTCTTGATGCTAAACCTTCCACTAGCAACAAAGTCGACCTGGTTTCTGTGTCCAAAGCCCAGCGGAACACGATGGGGACATCATCCTCAAACGTGGACCATACGTGGATGTGTAGGATGTGCGAGGACATTTTTGACTCTGAGGCAGAAGTACGCAAGCACTGCAGTGACGTGAACAGCCATAACTTTCAGAGATTTGTCTGTGGACACTGTCCGCAAAAGTTCTTCAAAGAGTCCACTGTTCGGAGACACTGCATGAACGAGCATGGCGGAGAGATAAAGAGTTCCTATTTCTGCGGTCTCTGCGACAGCATGCAGTTTGAATCTGAAGGTGAGTTCATGGAGCATTACAGGAGTCTTCACAGTAAGGATTACTGCTGTATGAATGATGCGGAAGTTGTTCAGACCTCTGCTGCTGAAGGAACCGCTCAGCTGACCTGCTCATGCATGGGTTCAGAAGAAAGCAAGGATGAAATGAAAGCGACATACACTCGCTGCATGAGGAATCTGTCTGCTGAGGGGAGATGTCAGTACGTGTGCGCTCCTTGCTGTGTGTCTGTGCAGTCCTATGCACAGATGAAGACTCACATCCACACAAAGCATGCAGCCTTGAACCTGGACAAGACCTTCGAGGTAGAATGCAACGAGTGTCCAGAGAGTTTTACAGGTGTGCCAAGTTTCCATAAACATTATCACTCCCAGCACTGTGTACTGGAACCCTGTGTGAGCTCCAGGATCAGCAGGAAAGACTCGAGCACCGAACCATCCACTGTGAAGATAATCAATGCTTTGGAGATCAAACCAGCTCATGAAGGTAAATCAGTTCAAATTAAAGCCTCTATTGTCTGTGTGTGTATAGGATTTGATTATCTATTTATTATGTACAGAGATTGAAGATGAAAAACTGGTGAAGTTTTTGAAGGACTATCCAGACAACAGTGAGAAAGAAGCATGTGGAGGTAAACAAGCTAACATCGTAGAACCTGTTTGCAGCTTTAATAATGACTCAATACTTAATCTTTAGATTAATCACAATTTGGCCTCTCACAACAATACATTTTTCTGGGTGATTGATTGTCACAGAAATTATTGTGATAAACGATAACATTGTTTGAAATTTGACAATAATTAGTCATTTTCAAATTTAAGACGAAATGTTTAATTTGTTTTGTGTGTAGTACCTTTTTTCGACCACTTGATGGCAGTATAAGACTAAACCAAAGGATAGATACTAAGGGATTGAGCAGCGTGTCTCTAAGGAAAATGAGAGGGAGGCCCCTTGACCAGACATGGGCTGTCTCTTCGGTTCTTAAAATGGCGGACACTCGGTGTGGTTTGAGCTTTTTAGCATAGCATTTTTCACACAAAGCCTTTAATAAAAAATATATTAAACAAGTTCTCAGCAAGTTTTTGCAAAGAAAAACTTTTTACACGAAGGAACGGGTTTCAACTAGTGATGGCGAGATGAAGCTTCATGAAGCACTGAGGCTTTCTATCAAATACCTAGACTCGATCCGACGCGCCATGGTGCTTCATTTGCTATACTGCGCCATCACGTGGACTATAAATGCAAAACTGGTAGATGGTTTTAATAACATAGCTGGTTTGTGAAGCTTTAAGTTGAATAAAAGGAAAAAATTAAATCATGTTTGTGAGGACCTGAAAGTCTAAATTTGATATGCAACTGCTCTTAATCTGTCTTTATGATGATGATGGATTTTTCTGTCTGCCCCTTATATTTTGAATCTTGCGCATACAAATGAGCCAGTTCCTGAATCGATAACGTGGTACGGCCCGCTAGCGAGGCCTCAAACGCCACTACATGCGTCATCAATACACGCCTCGATACACGCTCCACATAAATCCTCCTGGATTACTCGACACACGCTTCGAAGCCTCGACAGAAGGACACATCACTAGTTTCAACTGGATTTTGGAGCTTCGACAAGATGGCGTTTTTTCCCCCCGAGGTCGGCCTGTTAACTTAGCTCATAGCCTAGCTGCTTTTAACGATACAAAAACGTGGTTTTGGACCGTTAAAACAGATTTTAAAGAGAAAGGGAAGTGAAGTGAAGAACACTGGGGTTGAGTTTTTTGTTATCCAGTGTCTTCAGTAGAAAGGGAGAAACACGAAGAAACGATGAAGCCAATAAATGAAAATGAGGTTGACGATTTTCATTTATCATGTGATTAATTGATTTATTGTTTATCGCGACAGGCCTAGGTTCAAGGCCTGCAACACAACAAGTTGTTTTCTTGATGATCTTCTGGAAATAATTTATCTCTCAAAATCAGTTTTTTTTATTAATGTCTTTGCTCATACTTTTTGTATTCTTCGACAGATGAATCAGACGATGAAATGAGACGTGCGTTGTCTTTGAGTGCAGAAGAGGCGAGAGAGTTAACAGGTACATATTGCCCGAGCATATATTACCGTTTCAGTTAAATAAAACTCAACAATTAGTCCTGCTCAAAGCAAATGTTTCGCTTGCGTTCAATGTTCGCTTTCTGTAAACATTTGAGAATTTAACAATTTAATTAAATTATTTTTCTATTTAATTTGTTGTCTTGGCAACAGACAAATCAATCAGGAGGTCTGGAAGCAAGTAGGCAAAGCACTTGAGTTCCACCAACCTCACAGAGAGCAGCTGTAATCGGATACATATTTATTTCATTTCAAACAAACCCCTCATGTAGGAGCAAAAATATCCCCAATGGGGACTTGTGGTACCAAACCTTAAGGAATTCTAAGTTTTACCGTCAAATATGTTTTACATTAAATTTGAGTGTTGATGGGATAAAACTAATGTATGCTACACAAAATGCACTTATGATCACTGATACATTCAGCTAAAATAATTTTCTGTGTATTTGTGCAATACTCTAAGGTTTGGGTTCAGTTTAAATAAACGTTAAGTTCTGAAAATCAGTATTTGGTGCACAAAACACTAGGGAGTGTAACAATAAATCGATTTAAATCGATATATCAATTTAATGATTCAGTTATATCGTAGCAAAACTAAAACATCTATTCATATCGTCATCTTTAAAATACGCTTATTATTTTGAAATTCCCAAGGCACGTCTGTGTCACCATTTCCGTGCGCGGCCGCGCTCTGCAGCCGCCTCAGCAACATGGCAGACGAGGCAGAAAATGAAATTCACTCTCCTGCTGGATTTAAATTAACACTATGGAAATATTTTTAATTCCAGCAGAAGGACGGCGCAACAGACAGAACTCATGCTGTATGTAACAGGTGCCAGTGTGAGTTAAAATACTCGGGGAAACAACAAATTTGGCCGTTCACCTGAAGAAGAAACACGGCATTGATAGCCATGTGATGTAAGATCAATATCTATTTTTGTTTCTTTATAGCTGAAAGATAATCAGGCCACTTTTAAGTTAACTGTATTAAAAAATGCACTTAAACATGAGAAATGTGAGACTATACTGAACAGGTCATTTATTTTTATTTTTTCATTAATTAAGAAAAAATGTTGTTTTTTTTTTGTTTGTTTTTTTTGTTTAAATGCCTGGTGCCTGTAATAACATAAATAAAATGGGTAAATCTTATTTGAATTGTTTTTGTAAAATTATTTATATGTAAATGAGATGGGC